GGGAAAGAAGTAGCAGGGCACAGACTGCTTTTAACTAGGTGGGTGAGTGTAACAGGTTAGGCAACTGAGAACTGTTATGATGCCCCATAAAGGCTGCTTCATCGTGGCCAGACTCTCTCTTCCTTGCCTCTCTAGGTCTTGCCTTATTTTCTTTCCCATCATGTCTTGGTGGAAACTTAGTGAAAGGGAGGCTGGCCTCAGAGACTGATTAGCTTAAGGTGCTCTTTCTTCCCCAGTGGTCATCTCTGACCTGGCTTGCCTTAAGGCATTAAGTTGTGACCTCCAGGCACCTCCACTGTCAAGCTCATGCCTCTCAGAAGTTTCCAGTCATCACTTAAGTGGGCACCTTATCCCATGCCACCAGGCTACCTTAGGCTTCCACTCCCTTGTTGGGGCTTTGGCCTTCCTGGTTTCCACCCCCCAGCTGCTGTGGCTGGTCCCTTTAGCCTAGAGCCAACTCACCAGGTCTGGCTTCTCAGGCTCAAGTTCTTATCTCACTTCTTGAGCTCTTATCTCTGCCCTACCTGGGCTGTGGGCCCTCTAGCCCCTGTTTCTGCCCCTCTTGGCTCATGGTCTCTCTGGCCCCAATTGCCACCCCATTCTGGGTTATGGATCTTCTGGCTCCAAACTCTGCCCCGCTCTAGACTGTGAGATCACTAGCCCTGCTCCTGCCCCTCTCGGGCTGCGGGCTCCTGGCCCTGATCTCTGCCCCTCTTGGGCTGCAGGTCGCTGGCCCTCGGTTCTTGCCTCTCTAAACTGTGTGCTCTCTAGCCCTGTTTTCACTCCTCTCAGGCAAGAAAAATAATGATGGAGTGACAACTCTGAGCCATGGGCATGGGTATGGGGGCAACTTGAGGCCATGATTAATGCCCCCAAGGTGAGTTAGTGCCTTATGGCACGAATAGGGCCAATAAAGCCCAATCAGCTAGGTCATGTATGGGTTCAGAAGCACAAAATCAGGGACTTTGGGGAACAGCCTCTCATTGGAAAATACAATTTCCATCAAGGGATGGCAGATGGGACAATGAGGAAGTTACCCTGAAGAGCTGAAGGAGACAGGTAGTTTGGCCACTAGGAGCATTATGGCCATCCTTGGGGGCCAATTCTGTCACAGGACTGTAGGTAGTCTCTAAACATTGGGAGAAGCACCAGAGGACCACGTTCAAACCCCTCAGACATAGCTAGAGCCAATATCTAATGCTTTAGAAGGAGGGGAGAAAACCCTAAAAAAAAAGGAAGCCAATAAAGTATCCATGAGAGAAGAAAAACTCTTCCTAGCTCCAGCAGGAGATCAAAGAAGGCCCTGAAGCATGGGACTGCCAGGTACTTACTACACTGAGAAAGAGTGACATGTCTACAAAAAGCAGGATTGCAAATATTTAAATCCGTGTAACACTCACAGTGATGATATTGTTGATAAATTAAAATAGAGAGTTATTGCTTCAACAATCAGCATGTGTGAATCACAAAACTCAGTTCAGTGATCTTAAAAAAGAACAGTTCCTAAAGGCAGATATCCAGGATGGGGATAATGAATTGCAATTAGTGCTGTCAAGAGATTCAGCAGGTTTCCTCTCCCACTCACTGTTTCTGGTGTGGTGTGAGGGCCTTAAACACCAAAACCATGCTGGAGAGGCATGGGAATTTGTGTACATACCTTTCTTGACCTTTCCTTGGTCTGCTGCAGTATTCAGCACAAGGAGCAGGAGGGGGGAAGGGTTCACTGTGCCCCTTACCCTGATACCTTGGTGCTTCATGATTTTTAGTCCATTAGCAGCTGGAAGAATTTTGGAGAGAGACTTTTGTTTCCACAGTAATATGGATCACTTATTACAGGGGAGTTGTGCTGGAGAACCCTTGGACAGCACTTCTGCCTTTTTCTATTTCCTCCTTCTGCCTACTTTATATGTCCGTCTTTCTGTTTCTTGATGTAACCCTTTTTTTTCTAAACTGTCGTCTTCTCCAGCGTCTCTTCCCTCTCCTTCAGGGTTCCCTACTTGCACACACCTGATATTCAATCCTGGTGGAGTTAATGCCTTTTGCTCAGATCAGATGTGGCACTGGGGAGTCATGTGACAGAGGAAGGTTGCTATAAATATAGTTAAACTGTGCAATCACTGCCCCAGATGCCTTTGGGCAGGAAGAGGAGAAAGTGAGAGAGACACAAGGAGGAGGGTGGGGGGAAAGGGAGAGACAGAGAAAAGAAGCAAGAGCAGGAGTACAAGACAGGGGCCATGCTGCTGGCCATGTTGCAGGTCAGACAGTTAGATGGTTCTTGGTTGGGCTTGGAGCAACAGCATCGTCACAGCTAAGAGTAGGGAGGGGGCAGTGCAATGGAGAGCTCAGAGCACAAGACAGAGGAACCCAGGTCAAGCTCAGCCATTTGGGATGCTGGTCCCCAGTACGATTATGTCCGATTTGAGAAATGCAACAGTTACGGGATCCCGATGGAGGCAAGGCATGAGACCGGGGGGAAAGGGGACGACTTGAACTACCTGGAGAGCACCCTCAGCTACCCACAGGTAGGGCTGGGCAGTGGGAACATCTGGGGTCATGTAAATTTCAGTGGGGCCAGTGGGTGAAGGAAGCCGAAATGGTTTTTGGGAATCCTGGTGGGGGTGCCATTGCACACATAGCCATATCAGAGTGACCTGCCAGACCAATCTCTCCTGTCTCTCATTAACCCTCAGAGCAGGAGTTGGTCCTTTCACGGTGACACTTTCATGTAAGAATGCTGTTGGCATTCGTGTTGCTGTCGATTGTCATTCTCATGTCCAGAGAAGACACACAGATAGAAAGTAGGATGGGGGAATTAAAACATACCACTTAACATTCATGCAGTGTGATAAGCAAAATCTACCATCAACCCCACAGCACCCGTACATGATGGTAACAATATCTAGAAAAATTAGGGGAGAAAAACAGAGAACACATGCAGATGAATAAACTAAGGCATACACATCTAAGTCCCAGTTTATCCCTGTGCAAGAACCAGGCAGAGGCAGCTTGTGCATATGCATATATACAGAATTACACACAGATACCAATACACAGACACTCACTGGTAGAGCTGCTGGAAGTTGTTTTGGTCTCTGGTGCAGAGGAAGCTTGCTCAGCTCTTAAACTGATTCTTATTTGTGTTTGGCCATTGTAGCACTAATGGGGGTAGAAGCTGTAATAAAATGTCTAAGACACCCTGAGACGTCTTGAGATCCTTTTAAGGGTGTTGTGGGGTGCTATGTAATATTAGCATTGTTAGGTATGATCCAGATAAACAAAATTCACAAGATAAACTCAGAAATTTTAAATAGAAACCCAGAGTGTCAAAAAATATCTTGACCTTTGGTGCACTTTCTGAGTTGTTGCAGCAGAAGAATTGCTCTATTATTTTTCTGTAGTCAAAAAATGAGTAAAAGCAAAGAACTGACATTTTCTGAGGGGTGGGGTGGGTCTTGAGTCTAATGTGGGGTACCTTGAATCTAAAAAGTTGAGAACCATAGACATGCCTTGGCCCCCTCCCCAGGTTTCCCTCCCTTGGCCTTGTCTGAGACATTGTCCCTGTGTCTCTACTCGTGTGCTAAGACGGCAAGGAATGGGCTATGCTGATCTTCACCTGGCAGCAAGTTCTCCTGTGCTGGATTATTTCCTAGGGAGATCCACATATCTACCTTATGGCCCATATGCTCAAAGGTAGCCTGCCAAAGAGAATTTTCAGCAATAAAGGTTTAGTCCTGAGCATTGTTCATATATCAGAAAGGTATTTTTGAACATTTGAATAAATATTGGAACTTTGCATGGATGCTTTCCACAGGCCCTTTCAGTTTTCTTTTAAAAAACAGATGGATTTTAATTGTTGGTCTTACAAGATATGGTCTTGCAAATACTCATGCAACTCAGTGATGAGTCAAAGCTGTCTTGGAGACTGATTTACCTCTTCCTGTACATAAATTTCCCATCCCAAGCCCTGGTTCTCATGGGGAACTTCACTCACCCTGACATCTGCTGGGAGGGCAATACAGCAGTGCACAGACAATCCAGGAAGTTTTTGGAGAGTGTTGGGGACAACTTCCAGGTGCAAATGCTGGAGCAGCCAACTAGAGGCCAATCTCTTCCTGACCTGCTGCTCACAAACAAGGAAGAATTGGTGCAGAAAGTAGTAATGGATGGCAACTTGGGCACCAGTGACCATGAGATGACTGAGTTCAGGATCCTAAGGAAGGGAAGGATGGAGAGGAACAGAGTAAGGACCTCAGACTTCAAAATAGTAGATTTCAATTCACTGGGGGAGCTGATGGGCAGGATCCCCTGGGAGGCCAGTCTGAGTGGGAGAGAAATCCAGGAGAACTGGCTGTACTTTAAAGAAACTTTGCTGAGCATGCAGCAATGAACCATCCCGATGCTCAGGAAAACTAGCAAGTATGGCAGAAGACCAGCTTGGCTTGGCAGGGAACTCTTCAGTAAACTAAGTTACAAAAAGAAAGCTTATAAGAAGTGGAAACTTGGACAAATAAATAGGGAAGAATATAAGAGCATTGCTAAGGCATGCAGGGATGAAGCCAGGAAGGCCAAAGTGCAATTGGAGTTGTAGCTAGCCAGGCACTTGTCAGGTAACAAGAAGGGTTTCTACAAGTATGTTAGTAGCAAGATGGGAATCAGGGAACGTGTTGGTCCTTTACTGAATGGGGAAGGCAATCTTGTGACAGGATGCAGAAAAGGCTGAAGTGCTCAATGCCTTCTTTGCCTCAGTCTTCACAGGCAAGATCAGCTCCCAGACTACTGCACCAGGCAGCACAGTTTGGGGAGGAGGTGAGCAGCCAACAGTGGTGAAAGAACAGGTTAGGGACTGTTTAGAAAAGCTAGACATATACAAGTCCATGGCGCCAGACAAGATGTACCCGAGGGTGCTGAGGGAATTGAGTGATGAGATTGCAGAGCCACTGGCCACCATCATCTTTGAAAACTCATGGCAATCAGAAGAGGCCCCAGATGATTGGAAAAGGGCAAACACAGTGCCCATATTTAAAAAAGGGAAAAAGGAGGATCCAGGGAGCTACAGACCAGTCAGCCTCACCTCAGTCCCTGGAAAATTCATGGCGCAGATCCCAAGGGATTTATTTGTAAGCATTTGGAGGGGAAGAAGGTGATTAGGAACAGTCAGCATGGATTCACAGTCATGCCTGACCAACCTGATGAGGTGACTGTCTCTGTGGATGTGGGGAAACCAGTGGATGTGCTGTACCTTGATTTTAGCAAGGCTTTTGATACCGTCTCCCACAACAACATTCTCACAAGCAAGCTAAGCAAGTATGGGCAGGATGAATGGACAGTAAGGTGGGCAGAAAACTGGCTAGAGCACTGGACTCAGAGGCTAGTAATCAATGGTACAATGTCTAGTTGGCAGCCAGTATCAAGTAGAGTGCCCCAGGGGTCGGTCCTGGGGCAGGTTTTGTCCAATGTCTTCACCAATGACCTGCAAGATGGCACAGAGTGCACCCTCAGCAAGTTTACAGATGTCACCAAGCTGGGGGGAGTAGTAGATACCCTGGGGGCAAGGGGTAGGGCTAGGATTCAGAGTGACCTAGACAAATTACAGGATTGGTCCAAAAGAAATTTCATGAGGTTTAACAAGGACAAGTGCAAAGTCCTGCACTTAAGACGGAATAATCCCATGCACGGGTATAGGCTGGGGGCTGACTGGCTGGGCAGCAGCTCTGTAGAAAAGGATCTGGGGGTTACAGTGGACAATAAGCTGAATATGAGCCACCAGTGTGTCCTTATTGCAAAGAAGCCTAATGGCATACTGGACTGCATTGATAGGATTGTTGCCAGCAGGTCAAGGGAAGTGATTATTCCCTTCTGTTCAGCACTGGTGAGGCCACATTTGGAGTATCCGGTTTAACAGAAAGAATGTGGATAAATTGGAAAGAGTCCAGCGGAAGGCAACAAAATGGTGAGGGGGCTAGGGGACATGACTTATGAGGAAAGACTGAGGAAACTGGGCTTATTTAGTCTAGAGAAGAGGTGACTGAGAAGGGATTTAATAGCAGCCTTCAGCTACCTGAAGTGAGGTCTGAAAGAGGATGGAGCTAAACTGTTCTCAGTGGTGGCAGATGGCAGAACAAGGAGCAACCATCTCAAGTTGCAGTCAGGGAAGTTTAGGTTAGGTAGTATGAAAGTTTTTCTCACTAGAAGGGTAGTAAAATGCTGGAACAGGTTATCCCAAAAGGTGATGGACTCTCCATCCTTGTCAGTTTTTAAGACCTGGCTAGACAAAGCTTTGGCTGGGATGATTTAGTTGGTGATGGTCCTGCTTTGAGCCGGGGGTTGAACTAGGAATTGACAAATGTGTCCTAGATTGAATTATATTCAGAGGAACCATTCAGTGAATAATTTGGAAGAACCAACATTTAAAAATTGAAAGATGTCTTCAAATAAAATTAAGTGTTAAATTATTTCCTTCTAATGAATGGCTATAACAGACAGATTGCCAGACAAATTTGGTGTTTATAGACATGCTCCAGGAGGTGGAGGAGGGGAGGGAGAGCTTTAATTAGAGTGGCTCCAACAGCCACTCTAATTAAAGTGCCCAGAGCATCATGTGTATTAGTGTTTCTGTGCTGAAAAATGGTGGCAAGGGCGCTTTAACTACAACTCATTGAATGCACTTTAGTTAAAACACCCCTGCCATCATTTTTCAGCACAGGGATGCTGACATGACACTACAGTCTGCTGGAGTGCAGTAATTACCGTGCTCCAGCAGACTCGATTAACTGAATCTGCTGTGGTGCATTGTAATTACAGCTCAATGGAGCAGCCTCTGCATGTGTATAGGCACTCATTGATACTAGACAAACACACACAGACACATACCCTGAGCACATATAGTTTATGCATGTGACTGTATTAAACACATGTGCTTGCAGGCAAGGGCTCTAAAACCTCCTCCATACATAAATAGACCTACCTAGATTCACACAGAGCCACATGACACCCCCATGTGCTCCCAGGCTGATAAAGTAGACACTAGCATGCACTCACTTATGCAACTATGTGCCCCCATGAAGTCAAATACAAATACACATGCATATTTTCTTCTTGGTGCCCTCCATGTATATATTTTAGTGCAAATACACTCATGCACAAGGAAATAGGAAATCAGAACATTTGTCACACACAGACATGGAACAACTCCTCAAATACATATATATTTCTGTACTTGGCCTCACACATTTTTCTTCAGCACTTGTATACATGAACCACATATATCTACTTGCAAATTCATTGACAGCACAGACACAGAATGACACAGGCTACCTTACATATAATATCAAGTGCATAAAGTCTCAAATGCAGATGTATATATGTATACTTGCATGTACATACATATTCAGACTTACATAAATTCCTGCACAAACATGACTTGCACACATTCTCACACACCTAGTATAAACATATATAGTATATGCACACCCACAGCCTCACACACCTTTTGCACAGATGTACACCCATATTATACACATAC